CTTTATCCCACCCTTGGTTCCCCAGGGGACCACTGAGTCGTGGGTTCTTCTGTGTTGTTATTGTTTGCTGGAGAGACCCGATGCCCTTTCAACATTTCTTCAACTTTAGAGTTAGAAAAACCAGTTCTACTAGCAAAATCTGTATGCTAAAACCTCTTTTGTTTTGAACCAGTGAGGTACGAAGTCAAGAAATACATGGATGGACTCAAGGAAAACAGAATCACAGTGCTCTTCTCTTGTAAGAATAGTCTTTTTTCTAAGTCTGTTTCATCACTTTGTGGTTTCTTCTATCTTCTTTCGCTCTGTTCTCCTGCTGACCAGGAGAACTGTCTTGAGCCCCCTTTCTGGTCTGCAGCAGCACACCCAGCCCACCACAGTCATCTCTGTCCTAAGGCATAATGGCAGGCAGCAAAAGAATTCTAGACTCGGCGGCCAAATTCAGGCGTCAAATTCTAGTTCCACGATTAGTTTTGCAATCTGGGGTAGGACACCTAAACCCATTCTCTCCCTCCTTGTCCTTCCATTTTAAACTTTTTAATAATTTTATCAAAGTAATGCATTTTATCAAATGCATACATAGGTAACGTATAAAATACAATAGAAGTTACTTTTACTGGCCTCTTAAGTGATTTGCCTGATTAAGCAACTCTCTCCATTCCCTCAATATATCCTACCGACTGATGCTGACAGCCAGCTCAGGACCGGATGCCCTCTAGCCCTCCAGTAAACTCCTGATCCCTCCTGTGAAGATGTATGTGGACCGAGAGTCAGTGGTGTTTGTCCCCAGATCTGCTGTGCCAGTTTTACTTATTCATATAATTATTCAATGATAATTATGTAACCAGTGACATGTGGGTGTGTAAAAGAGAATTGCTATTTCTATTAAAATGTTTTGTAAAGACTCAATAAAGTTGAGTTACTAAAAATGAAAGGCTATAGGTCAGGTGCAGTGGCTCACACCTGTAATCCCAGCACTTTGGGAGGCCGAGGCGGGAGGATCACGAGGTCAAGAGTTCAAGACTAGCCTGACCAACATGGTGAAAATCCATCTCTACTAAAAATACAAAAATTAACTGGGACATAGTGGCACAAGCCTGTAATCCCAGATACTCAGGAGGCTGAGGCAGGAGAATCGCTTGAACCGAGAGGCGGAGGTTGCAGTGGGCGGAGGTTGCAGTGAGCCGAGATGATGCTACTGCACTCCTGCCTGGGCGACAGAGCAAGACTCTGCCTCAAAAAAATACAAAATAAAATAAAATAAAGGCTATAGAATTATATGTGAGCAAGATAGTGGTAAAATATTGGGTAAAAACTTAAATCTAAAAGGATTCTGCTTTGTGCCTTTTTCAATCTAATGAAGCAGAAACTGAGAAATATAGATGATGATTATGGGCGTAGTTTATGGAAGAAAATGCAGAACTGGAAATATGTGGCTATATTCTATATGTGGAAATCCCGGCAGTATTTCCAGGGGATTCTTATGATACTAAATTAGATAAGGTTCATGTAACACACTTAGCAGCATGCCTGATATTTAATAAGCATTCAATCATGTTAGCTGTTATTGTGGTTATTATTCATTTAATAATTGCACATCCAGGCAATTTTAAAAGAAAAGATGAAACAAAAGGCAAGGTGAGACCAAATCAATATTTCAAAAGAAAATATTGGGATAACCTTTTAAACCCAGCGACCAAAGGACCTAAACTTCACTGTGATGATTTTTTTCTTTGCATCCAAATATCCATGTGTAAAATTAAGAGGATATTGATTATCAAATATCTACAACGTTTAGCTGGAAAAACAAATCCTGGTTCATTATTGAAAATAAGGCCTTGGCATTCCAAATTTAACCCTATTTCAATTTTAACAACAAACTGCCACAGAGCCTTAGGAAGCTCTCTAACCTTTTCCTATCCTTGTATTCTCAGTTAGATAAGGATGATGACAAACAACTAAATTAATTTATCACATGTCCAGAAGAATTATTTTGAATTCTTTGAGAAAAGTACACTGTGGTTGTATTTGTGTTCTCTCACTTGAGTGTGAGCTCTGCCTGGCTCAGTGCTGTGTGAGGCTCTAACCCTCAGGATAAGGATCAGTGAAATGCTAATTTTTTTAAAAATTAAATTTTCGTCAAAGCTCTAGACCTAGTCACTTATGACGATGTTTGTGCCGAGTTTCAACAGGTAAAACATGCTTCACCACAAAAAACAACAATGATCATAATAAGTTATGGGATGAAAGGGAAAGATCCTATTTTATTCGATTATCTGTACGACTAAATTAAGTTTTAATTCTTTTTCAATCTTGTAAAGGCAATATAAGAACAGATATACTGGATGTGAGGTTTAAACTCATTAATTTTAGTGGCTCTGGCCAAACCCAATTAATTTCTGTTTGTGAAGCAATCCCCATTGTTGGGGTTTCAAGTTATTTTCACAGTTGATCGTGGAAGAACATGCATAGCTATTCAGTACATGATCTTGTAGCTAGTCAGTCAGTCTATATTGATTGTGTGGACTAAGCCCAACATCCTACATATTTATTACATACAAATATAGAGAAAAATAACAATGATTTAAAAGATATAGTTAAAGCCTTTAAAGAGCTATATACTCTATTACTATTACTGAGAGGTGGGAGAGGATACTTTTCCTTAGGAGACAATTCAAAAGATAAAAAATAAATTGTATTTATTTCCCTGTCATTTAATCGATCCTTAAACAAATAACTCTTTCAAAAATTTAGGTTAATTCAATATATATGCATAAGACTAAACTAGGCTCAGAGAAGTTAAAAAGAGGAACCAGACTGGATCATCCCAGCGTTCAATGAATTTGCTATAGTTGGGGAGAAAGGCATTCATCTAACTAGTATACTTCCATCCATGATGTGTGGAGGGACAAACTAGACCAGGGAAGAATTACCAGTACCTGAGTGTACTCTCATTGTAATGCCCTAATATCAGGTTTCCAGACATCCTTAAGAAATTGCCAGATTTGCACAACCTTCATATTGGAGCCATCATGGAGATGGAGGAAAGAGCCTGTCATGTCCACAGTTTTTAAGGAAATGACTTGATTGTTATAAGTCAGATAGCTTAAAAGCAATGTCTGATGAGAACAATCTCTCATACAGTCAATAAGCAACTTACCAGAATACTGTAGGATATAAAGAAGCAGACACACGTGACTTTTTGAATAACCAGCTTTTCCACAGCAATTTAACTTTCTTCCTTGATTCAGTGACAGCCTACATAAATAATGATAATATGCTAGATAAAATCAATTTTGTATGGAGGAAGATTTTGAGTTCTAGTCTAAACAATATTATTATCACCAAGCCATGACAGTGTGACCTTACCTTAATCATGCTACCATTACCTGGGTGAACAGGTAAATATAGAGTTGCAATTACCATAAAGTGGGTGGGAGCAATGCATTATATATCCAGGTCCAGCCCCTGGGGATCAGTTGTACTGAAGGACTTGTAACTTACTGATGAGCTATATGACTCATAAATACCTGCCTCCAAAATGCAAATATTACTAAATCAAGTAGAATGGACAGTACCTTACACCAGGAAGTTCATAACAAGACAGTTGAAAATGCCTTTGGAGATATGCTTTAAATCATTCTAAAAACAGAATAGCATATCATTGATGCAAGTGTAAACTGGTATTTTTTTGGCACACGTGAAATTTGCAAAAAAAATAATTTAAAAGACAAGTGCCAATAAGATTTTTATTTCAATTAGGGTTAGCAAAGCAACATTATAAATGAATCACACTGAGACTAGGTGATTTAAGTGGGGCAGGCTAGCAGGATGGACGATTAATCCTACCGTTTCTTAAGCCACACCATCCTTTAGTACTTAGTCACGTTTTAGTCAACATATTTTGAAAGATTTTTTTTAAAAGGCATGCAGAGAGCAAAACATTACATACATATTTATAAAATATAGAATAGAATATATATTAATATATAATATATAAGTAAATGTATTATATAATATATATTTGATTATATATATTATATAAAATATATGGTATGACATAAGTATATATGTTATGTTGTATTATATATACATATATATAAAATGTCTTTTAAGGAAAGAAATGGAACCGTATTAACCCAAAAAGCCAAAACTAAGTAGTCATATAATTACATTCTTACTGCTCTGTAAGATTGTTCTCAGAAGGAGCTGAGGCTCTCCTCTCCCCATAGGTGACTGAGCAAGAAGAAATACACTATGTTACAATAGACCAACTTCATATGGCAGAAAGAGGCCCTTTGTAATCACCATGAAAAATCACTGGTTCAAGGAAAACCTTAAGATTTTCTTTCTTACAGCTGTTTACTACAGAATAAACTATCATTAGTTCTGGATAATTTAAATATCCATGGGGTTGCTTGCCTCAGAGCCCTCTTCTTTTGTCCTAGCTTTCCGTTCATTTACTCTTCCACGCTTCCCGAACTAAGGCATCCAATAGTGGGCCACTAATACTCAATGCCAGGAGCTGCACATGACATCTCTATCTCAGTTTCACCCGAAGACATCGAGCCCAAGTACTCAATTTTAGACAACGATTTTATTAATAAGTGAAAATATTATTGTATATTAGCACATTGATCTGTGATGGGGTGGAATGCTGAGAATCAAAGGAAATTGTCTTCCTTGTGATGGTCATTTTCCAACGCTCCCCAGCCCCCAGTCCCTAGCTCTATTTCCCTGCCACAGAGAGCACAGGCTTAAAGCCCAGACTTTTCCATAGCAAATTTTCATGGTAATGCCAGGTTTCCTAATAAGTGACACCAAGCTTAATCAGGCCAGAAACACAGAGGATGACACATTTATTTCATGACCCTCTCCTTTCCCATGATTTTCCTTGTTACAAATAAAATATTAGAGACTTTGAGGCATCTTTGTATAGAAAGTTTTATAAATGTCTTTGGATGTGATGGTAATATGTGAATTTCTTTCCTCTTCTTTTTCAGGATGGGGACCAATGAAGTACTTGCGGCCTGCACCCAGAATCAGTGAGTAACTTCCTCATAGTGTTTGAGTCTTGGGTAGTTATAGGTAAGCAGAGCAACAACTAGAATATCTGAAAACCTCAGAGTGTTGCTTTTAAGCACCTGTTCTGGTGATGATAGCCATCCCTAGAAAGCACAGCCTCGGCGGCATCGTTGGAGGCATAAAGTCTTGGAGGGTGGGGAGAAAAGCAAGCAAACCATGACCCTTGTCCTCAAGGGATTTACAAAGGAAACTAAAGGCTCTGAAGACTGATTTCAGTTACACATAGGTTGGTGTTTACCTTATTTGAAAAAGTTTACATGTTTTTCTATTTTTCTTTTAGAAGTATTTAACACTTTCCTCGCAAATTGCACTGTAGTCTATTTTTTTAAATGTCTTCCTCTATGAATAGAGTAAAACCTCATTAATTCAGATATTGCCAATACACAATTCTTGACAATTTGATGTAGACTAAGCTGAAATTTAGCTTTGAATTGTCTGCAAGGAATGGATTTGCTAAGTGAAATGGAATATTTGTAACCCACGTAAAAAGAATACATTGTTTTCACAGCCTTAACATGCAGTGGTCTTTAGGCAAAAAGATTCAGCTGTAAAATGAGGATTATTAAGGTCATGAAGTAGATGTCCCCTTAGACTTTATTAGCAGGTAATAGTATTGAAAGTAATAAAACAATGTTGCTTTCAATAAATTCTGACTTCCATAATTCAGGCTAGATCTTCCTCTCCTCCTTTCCATACTAATTATTTTAATCTAATGAGGTTTACTATTGTGTAATATGTAAATGAAAGCATTTAGTAATAGAAGATTATCAATTCCTATTATCTTAAAAATTTATAAATATAAATTCTAATTTTGGGATGCATGTCTGTAATGTTGATCACCTAGATGACAGTAGTGTGTTTACAAGAAAAATAATGTATTATTCCATTTTCTGTTTCATGATCTCACATGGCAGGTAAAATTTTTTTTTCATTTAAACCTCAGCATTTTTGCAAAGCAAGCAAGTCAGATTCCTGGGGCAATAGCAAAGATTTGAGGTGAGGGAAAAAAACAAAATCAGACCATGCCCTCCTAGGGGTATGTTGAAACATTGGAGTAGTAACTAAATCACCATGCATCCATTTATTCCTTTATTCATTCAACAAACACTTAGCCAAGGGCCATGCTTATTGCATCAAGGGATATAGAGATAAATAAAATTCCCTTTTTGTCTTCATTGTACTGGTAGCCCATAAGTTGAGACAGAGATAGAGACAAATGATTTTCTCATATGATAAGCAATGCGTTATCCCAAAAAACAAAGTACTTTGGGAATGCACAGAATACACCGTTAAATGTAACAGGAAGAGTTGGGGAAATATTCAGTAATAGTTATCATACTTGAACTGATTCTTAAAGAATGAATAGAATTTCTTCAAGAAGAGAAAGGGAAGTACAGCATTTCATGCGGTACAAGCAAAAGCATGGAGACAACAAAGCACATGTACTGCCTGAGTAAAACCACATATCCTTAGAGTTAGTTGTATAGAGCTGAGGGAATGTGGGAGTAGTGTATGGTCTATACATAAAAGTATATTACCAAGAAAAGATACCCTTTAAGTGGTCAAAAACAACAAGTGGAGTTTAGAGAGAGAAAGATTTGAGAGTCAGTTGCATAGAGAGTTGAAATGTGAAGAAATGGAAATAAATAAGATCATTCAAGGGCACGGGAGAGAACTTTTAGGAACACAGAATAGAATCAACTTTTTCCTGAGACAGGAGAAAAGGAAGAGCAGGGAAAAAAACTAAGATAAGTTTAAAGATGGATATAAAGAAATTTGAGGGAGTTTATGCCTGAAAGCTTCCATTTTCTTGCCACTATACTGTGAATAAGCATGGGATGCAGAATAGGAGAACACAAGTTCGAAACTCAATTCAGCCACCCACGAACAACGCGACATGGGTAGGTCACATAACCACTCTAAAATTTCCATTTTACCATCTGTGAAATGGAGATAATAATAACATGCAATCCATAGGTCAGAGAACCTCATAACACATGTGGAGGCACTTTATAAATTATAGTGCTCTTGGCCAGAACACATGCTGGGTGACCTCACTGAGCTCTTGTTTATAAAACAGGGACAAGCTGGGCATGGGCACATGTGCCTGTCATCCCAGCTACTCAGGAGGCTGAAGTAGGGGGATTGCTTGAGGCCAAGAGTTCAAGATTGTAGTGTGTAATGATTATTGTACCTGTAAACAGCCACTGCTGTCCACTCCGTGCAACACAGTGAGACCCTATCTCTAAAAAATCAAATAAAATAAGGATAACAGCACATAGCTTACACGGGCTACTAAGAGCATTAAAGATAAGGTATCCACCATGTGTGCTCTGTAGAAGGGAACCACTGCGTTACTGTCTTCTGTGAGTAAGAGCTTGTCTCTGGGGAAAGAGGGAAAAAATCTGCAATGGGGAAACAAGACAAGAAAGAGACATGGAAAAATATTTTTGAACAGAATTAAAAGCCTATCCTGAAAACATGAGTTTGCAGGTACAGTCACACTTATGTACTCTGGAGCAATCAAAATGAATGAGTTGATGGTCTGGAGCTGGGGTAGATCAAAGCAGGTATACTAGTGGCTGAGAGCAAGTGCCATCGAGGGGACAATTGGAAATGCTGGCCAATGCACATCTCAGAAGTTTAGAGGCCCTGTTCTCTGGCCTCAGCATTTTGACAGAATGGCACCTTTCTATTCAGAGTCCTCAGCCTGTGATCCTATGACTTGTTGTTGTCAAGTAAGTGAGTGGCTTATGCAAAGGACTGAGCCGCCAGATGTCTCCAAGGTTATACGCTGTCACTATCAGCTAACCTCCATCCCTGATGCTACTGATCAGATTTAGGACAGTGGCCAGCCAGACCCCTGCCTGACCCTCCTGCCTTCTCACCTCCCACCCTTGTCTCACATCCCAACTGCAGCCTATTCCCAGCCTCCCCTTCCACTTGAACTTTCATTCTTCCCTAGCACATAAGGTAGTAAAAAAGCTGTCCACCTCCTCTGAAATAGAAAGGTGAAGTTTCAGTCAACTATTAATAAAAAGGAGCCAGAATGCAAGCTACCTGCCCCTCACACCTTTAGCACCAAGTCTAAACCTCATTCCAGAATTTGCTGGTTGCAACAGGCAAGATTGCACTTCCGCCCATACTTGGAAGTGAGTTATCTCACCATCCACTAGGAAAATGTTCAGTGTCCTCTTAAAATGTTTAGTGAGCCTTGGGGACCCCAAGAGAGAGCTGCCAAGATCTATCTTGATAGTTACTAAACTTACCTCTGAGAGAGATTTGAACTGTTAGAGCTTTCATCCTCAATTTGCCAAATGGCAGTAATAAAGGAAATATAGGCTATATCTTGCACATTATTGACTCCTATTTTAATTAATGTAAGACACATTCCTCATTTGGGAGCATGGTTGATTCACTCAGCCAATGGTTATTCATTAAGTATACCAAATGCAAGGTGCTAGCTCCTAGTCAAGGTCTTTGGAGATAATGAATATAAACATCTCTCATGAATAATATTTGAAACATCCAGAAAAACCCATCCAATTAGACAAAATTCCAGGCTCCTGTGAAAAGGCAACTCCAAAGACTCATTAGGGGTTGAGAAACCCAGAGCATTTTCTTCTCTCTTCTCAGCCTTGGCTTCCAAAGCCCACACTTCTGTGACTACCAACATGAATCACATGAAATTCACCTCCAAGCACCTTGCCTCCTGTCCATTTCTTTCAGTCCACTGTGGTAACCTGCTAATGTGGAGATTGCCCCATGACACATTAACACCCCCAACCCCACAGGTGGTCCTTCCCTACACAGCATGAACCACACTAAAGTGCAGCCCTGCCTTTCCCAGGGTGGGAAGCACCAAGTACTGTGTCTGCTAATATGGTTTCAGACAGGGTGCTCTCTCCCATTCCACAAATGCACATCAGTCCTTTCTCCAAGGTGCTTTAATCTCCTAGTGTCATGCCAGCCAGCCCCCACCACACCCCCGCCCAGTGCCCTCTACAACTCCCTTTTTTTTTTCTGCCTGGTTTGTATGCGGTCTTCATTCTAGACCTGCTCAAGAAAGCAACTTATCTCTCATTAAACACAAATGCAAAGACAAACATCTATTCATTTTATTTCTTTGACCCTAATTACACGCTCCTTCTATTTCCTCCTGTAATCAACATGCCTCCCATTTCTGGGTTCTTTGTGGATGTTCTCTTTTACTCTGTTTCTATCCTTTATATATCTCACAGATTTTAGTAACACTTGGAATATAGTCTTTTAGTTTATTTCTTAGAAGAACACAAGACTCACATCCATGCAGTGGCAAAGCCAACATTAGGGAGAGGTGTGCAGTGGCATGTCATTAACATGTTTTTCTCTCTTTTTTTTTTTTTTTTTTTTTTGCCATGTAGTGAAACAGTGTTCAATTTGGACCAGTTCTGTGAGTCCTTGACAGCAAGAATATAGCCCAGGCTAGCATCTCCGATTTGGAGATCTTGATAAATTTCAAAGCAGAATCTAAAACTTGACTCTTCTGATTCTGACTCCTATATGTCCCTAGGCCTCCACTTACAGGGACTGAAAGAAAATACTTTTCCTCTATTTTGTAAGTGGAGAGTAATTCAGAATCATTTCTTATGGTCATTGAACTGAGAAATGTTCCTTGGAATTTCATGAAGAATATCTTGAGGCAGGGTTTATGTACCAGCAAAAGGATACACACATTCAAGGGTAATACCTTTTTACATATTGATAGCATACTCTCTCCCAGAGTAGAGGGCTGCTTTTGTGCCAAACTGCAGTGCCGTGTGATTTTAAAGCTAGAGTTAATCCTCACAGGCTACTGTGGGTCCACAAACTGGCACTTGGTGCTCTAGAGCTTTGCATTTGGTAAGCATGTTCTCCTGGGCACGGGTCCTGAAATGGGCTATTGTTTACCTGTACTCAGTGTCTTTGTCCTCATTTGGCA